AAATCGTTATCATCATCGTTATTTCGCCAATCTTCACTAATATTATAGCGTGCGCTACTGATGTCAACAGATATAAGTGGTACGTAGTATCAATTGAAAGTGAAATACCTGGCGGCACAAGATTAAGAAGATTGAAGAAAGGAAAACATATCTGTGAGGCTAAATACGTAGTTTGACATGTTAAAGTACATTTAATCTGATGTTTATGTATTTAAATAAACTTCAAATACTCTTGACCAATGACCATCATGCATGAATCATTTAGTAATAGCAATATAGTCTTAGTGTAAACAGCGAATAAAATCTAAGCAACATACAAACCCTTGTTGATTCCGTTGTAAGCTTTCACTAAACACATAAGTTCCAAGTAAGGACCGGAGTCAGACAAGGCTATTTACTATCTCCCTTCCTTTTTCTTCTGGTGGTCGACTGGATTATGAAGACCTCGACATCTGAGGGAAAACACGGAATACAATGGACAGCTCAGAACCAATTAGACGATTTGGACTTCGCAGATGACCTAGCCCTCCTATCGCATACAGACGAACAAATGCAGATAAAGACAGCCAGTGTAGCAGCAGTCTCTGCATCAGTAGGCCTCAGCATACACAAAGGGAAAACCAAGGCCCTCAAATTCAAAGCGGAAAACAGCAATCCAATCACTCTTGATGGCGAAACTCTGGAAGATGTAGAATCTTCCACATACCTAGGAAGCATCATCGATGAACAAGGAGGTTCAGATGCAGACGTAAAGACGAGGATTTGCAAAGCAAGGGTCGCATTCCTACAATTGAAGAACATATGGAACTCAAAACAACTGTCAACCAATATCAAAGTGAGAATCTTCAATACGAACGTCAGGACAGTTCTACTGTATGGAGCTGAGACTTGGAGAACCATAACAACCACCATCAAGAAGGTACAAGTATTTATAAATAGCTGTCTACGCAAGATACTCAACATCCATTGGTCGGATACCATCAGCAACAGCCTTTTGTAGGAGAGAACAAATCAGCTTCCAGCTGAAGAAGAAATTAGGAAAAGACGATGGAAATGAATGGGAAATACATTACGCAAATCGTCAAACCGCATCACGAGACAAGCCCTAACTTGGAATCCTGACGGAAAGCGGAAAAGAGGAAGGCCAAAGAACACATTATGTCGGATAATAGAAGCAGATATGAAAAGGATGAATAACAACTGGAAGGAGCTGGAAAGGATTGCCCAGGACAGGGTTGGATGGAGAATGCTGGTGAGCGGCCTATGCTCCTTCACGAGGAGTAACAGGCGTAAGTAAGTAAGTAAGTAAACACATAAGACTTCAAAAGAAAGTAATAGATCTAGTTAATAGTGAAAATGGATTTACATCAAGATTATTCACAAATCACGAATGATATTAGTTAGATGTTACACTTTGTGGCAAATGTCATACAAAGAGATAAGAGATCTTCTGTTACCAGTCGAAACATTCAATACATTCGTGTTTAATTACTGAGAATTGTTTTCATTTATATTTGTATATCATTTATATGACATTTCAAGTTGCTTACTATGGGGTGAGTATCAGCATGGCTTTCATTACGTCATAAACCCAAAATGCAGCTTATGGACATATCAAACTTACTGAATTTGCTTCTATGCACTCATAGATATCTCTGGAATGATGTTTATATTGACGTAAGTGCTAAGTTAGAAATACTGTGGTTCAACTCTGGATTTTTATTAGAAATGTATAGAAAAGTTATGATGTATAGAAACTTCGTCGAGTCGTGTGATTGGAACATGTGAATGAACAGCTGTCTACATCCACACCATTATATTACGATACCTATGATATTGCGATAGCACTTTATTCCAATCCTTAGCCGTCTCGAAGTATATAAACTTCTATATTGTGACCCAGGTAATTATCACAGTCTTTGGTTCAAGACTTTAATTAATATAGCCAGAAATTTATTGTAGTTGAACGGATACATTCATTCTTTTTCATTTTTTGAGTACTGGTCCTGTTTTCTTCCATTATCGTCCAATCTATTTTCATTTGCTTTTGTGAAATATGTATTCAGTGGTATTCGTAAGATAATTTTACAAATATTGAAATTTAAATAAGTCAGTATTTTTCTGTCAAACTCACTAGTCCACTATGAAATGCAATTACCTGGACAGATGTCGATTTATGCTTGTTCAAATATGCTTTTAATTTCTAAAAGAACCATAAATTATGAAGATCAGAACTTAGGAAAGTATTAAAAATGTCACACCACAAGTAACTAAGTACTTCATTTTAATAGTGAGGTTATGATGTGATAATTAATGATCATTTAGAAATATACAATTAAAACTGGAATGCATCCACATCCAGCTAATGAATCCTGAATAAAAAGAAACGAGCATTTTGGATTTACCTGCTAGCCAGTCATGTTTATTTCATTAAACGGTATGATGAAAATTTGTATATGATACGTTAATGTTAATAACGAAGTGTAATTTTCACCTATGTTTGGATATTTACTATAAATGCGTGTATGAATTTAAAGTAATACAATATATATGTATGTGTGTTTATTTTAATAAATTCTCTGACTGGACGCTTAAATCGGTTTCTTAATCTCTTCCAATAACCCCAAGCTAAATCTACACAACAACTGGAACACAAGAGAAAAGGGTCGAAATATGAGAAGAACTCTTTACTCCAAAGTTAGTTTAGGCACAGAAAATTGAGATTATTTATAGCATTTTAGATGGCCTTGGGCTTTTGTAAAGTTTTAGAACCTTACTAAACATAGTAGTAGGATAGATAATTATCTAACCACAAATGTGACACATGACTCTTCACTTTTTAGATGTTTCTGAGAAACTTCTATTCAATGCTCATTGGATAAAATGTTTCCACGTGTTTTGAGAGCCGCTTTGGGCTTTTCTCGAGGAATATTCTGGATCTCACCAACAATTTATGTATACTTATATACTCAGAGTGCCTTGGACATGATACTGTCATAGGTTTGTTAAAATAATCAGATTAAAAAGCGTAAAACTTAATTTATGAAAGAATAGAATATTTGTTGACGGTGTTAAAACTCAACAGAGATAATATAAGACAAATATTACTTGTCAAAATAATTGTACCTCAAAATGAATTTCACAAATAATGAAAAAAAAACAAGGTAAGCGAATAAATCATTATTAGTTCGGACGTGAAATGGGGATGGTTAGTATCTGATAAGATAACACCTGCTATGAGTTTGCAATACTTTAGATGTCTATCCACAACCATATTAAAAAAATTACCTTTAACGATTTATCACGCAACTTGCTGACTGCCTTCAGCACTCTCCGCAATACAGCAAAGAAATTTCTCAAAATCCCGGGAAAGAATAATGGAGAACAGTAAACAATAGGTAATATGCAAGAACTGACAAATTATAAGAGTAAATTACGAGTAATCCCAAGAGCATGCAGTCTCTTTATGTAGTAAGTCGGACGGAAAACGTTCTTCGATAACAATAAAACGTGAGAAGACCAAGAGAGATCGGAGGAAAAGGTGATACCAAGATAATTGACCTTCGACACTGTATTTATCAAAGAGCTTCCAATGGCACAAGCATTATGGGATCTCAAAGTGGAGTTTAGATGCCATTCATGTCTCATGCTAAAGGTATTGTGCTAAAGATATTATACACTTATGAATTATACTTCTGAAAATCTTGCAGATAACCAGTTTATCATTAATGAATATCTGTTGAATTTCACTTTGAATAATAACTACAATCTTTGTCAACATTACGTTTTCAGACAGTAATAGGTACATGGATAATCGTAAACTTCAAACATATGATGTTAATGTTTATTGTAAACGTTGTTTTCTGGTAATAATATAGTTGAAGAAAAAATATTACAGTGTTAAATACTCATTTATTAAGATAATTATGCCTCATTAATTTCGTATGTTAGGTAAATCGATTATCTCAAACAACATTATTACCTCGATTCAATACTAATCTTTTTTGATCAGTTACAGGTGATTTTATTCACAAAATATTTAGAACATTGATTTTTCGTTCTGCACATCGTCAATATACATCTAAAAATCTTTAGTTTCTATCAGAAATATATTTGGAAACTAAACTCCTGTTAATTATTTAAAGTGATACAAATTAGAATCGATAGACATTTAAGAAATAGTAAAGATGATCATATCAAAAAAAGGCACTGAACCACACAAAACCTGACTACCAGATTAAACAATGTTAAAAGCTGTAATTCTGTCAGTTAGAATTCCTAAAAGATTTAAAATCAAGGCGGGAATATTTAGAAAACATGGTTCAAAACTAGTCTATGGTTTAGATATTTTTTAAATATTGGATATTCATCTTGGATGACGAATTCCTTTACTTCCCATCATTCTGTATGGTTTTTCGCTTCTTTTTTTCTCAATGTTTTATTAATTTCCTTTTGATGGAGTTTTGTTCTCTGAGCTGGATGGTTTGGTCGTGGAGCTTTCATCGTTCTTCTGAACGACATCATTAGCACAAACTTCAGGCAGCAATAAATTGTCTACTTTTACATGAAGTTCCAAACCAAAACTTCACCAAAATCATCCATCTGAGCTTTCAAATCTTCTCTACCATCTCATTAATTTCCTTGTTTATTATTGTTTTAACACAAAATCAGGCTACTTAACTTCATGAGTGTTTCCATCTTAATTAGATTCGTTTGTTTGAAATTTACTTATGTTTATCATAATAATGCAGAAACTTTAAATCGTATAATAGAAACATCTAAATGAAATATCATTTACTTCATACATCCAATAAGATCGACAATAATATCCAGAGAGTTTAAAAAGTTTATCGATATAATGAATGAGTTTGAGTTTTCTTAAATAAATCAAAAGTTCAAGTCTAACTATCACAACAATTGTTTTTCAGTAGAGATTATATCAACATGAATTGACTAATACACAAAACATAATAATTCAATATAAAAACCAAGAAACTCACATTGTTATAATACTGTTTTGTTTGGCTTCACGTTTTGGTGGATCATTCACCTGTGTTTCACAACCATCATAATGTATTTGTGTGATAGATCCTATAGTATAATTATTTAATTGTAATTTATCATTATTAATATTATTATTATTATTGTTATGATCAGTGTGAAGATGTATATCTTTATCCAATGATGATAATCCATGATAATTATTCATTGAATTAATGTTATTTTGTTTCATTTCAGTAATATGTTTATTACTATTATTTTCTATCGGTTTTATAATTGATATATCATGAACAGATGATAAATGAGATTTCTTATTTATAATTATAGAATTGAAATTCAAAGCATTTTGATCTGATTTAATTGGATAATGTTTTAATTCATTTTTGTTAAGATTTTGTTCAGGATTATTTTGTTGTTGATTAAATGAATAATAACGTGGACGACGATTTGTTGCAGAAACGTTCAGCTATAATAATAATAATAATAATAACAATAATAATAGACTGTATTATTAAATTACGACATTTACCAAGTAAATCCAACTTAATTATTTTCATGGATATAAATACTTTACAAAAGAGAATAGTTAACCTCACAAAATTAAATGGAATTAGCATACTGTTATATCACGATAAGCATAATGAATGATAACTGTTGGGATCCATTTATGAACCAATACTATACGTATATTTTCATCGTATAATTGTTAAATAACTAAATTATTCATATTCATGTCCCTCTTATCATGAGCTTTATGTTGATCCATAAACTATAGTATACGATTTACCATTCTTGAATTATGCCCTGTCTATCAATTACTATCTCCTACATTCACAGCCACATCTGGCTAAATCTTGTACAAATATTGTTTCCTATTTTATGGCACGATATGGTCTGTCTACTTGGTATATAAACCTAGTGTGTTTGGAATAAATGATTCATATTGCAGTGGTTGAGATTGGTGTTGTGGACTTAAGTGGCTGGTCTAGGCGGGAAACAGAATTGATAAGCACTCTAGACTGCTCGTACTTGTTTTGTGCGTCATTGGTCCGGTCGATAATTCACTGTTCTCTAATTAGCGGTATCACTACCCAATACCTTAACAGGGCACACAGGCCACAAGTTATAACACGTACAACATATATGATACATTGGTTCTTAGAGGGAATTCATTCTAAGAACGATTAAGTTAATAATAAAAAGTAATTTAATCAGAATGAGAAAACCTAATGGCATATGAAAATAAATTTACTATGAATGTACTGACCAAACTATATTTATAATATGTTGTTATATAACATTGTTTCATCATTGGATAGATGGAAATTATCAGTCGAACATAAATGATGTACGACTTATCAGTCAGTGATGTTACACCTACGTGAAAATAACGAAAAATTCGATTGACATTAAGAAGTAGACAAATTTATCTCCGGTCACCGGCATGTGAGCTTTGCCAAGGATTTTTTCTGAACACCCAAATGTCCACTATGATGATCTTCAAGAACAGATTTACGTTATGAAGGTGGAATAACAACATGACCATTTAAACACAAAATTTTATCAGAAGTACTGAATAACTCATTCCATTTTGATAAGAAATCCACGCTTCAGATTATCAAAACAGAATCCTAAATAATTCGACTCTATATCATGCTATGACTATCCCTAGGATTTATTTCAAATCACTGCTATCCTATTAGGAATAGAGTGACACAAAGTGGCCGGTCATCTATAAAAAAATCTTTCAGTCATCTCAGTTGATAAGGACTTACAACTTCTCGACTAATTTTTAGTATTAACAACTCATTGTTAGTTATTTATGTGGGCAAAATATTCTCCCCGTTGACTACTAACTTAAATAGCTATTCCGCCACAATATTTCACAGCTTGTTTTTACTTATTTATGGGTAACGTTATCGATGACATTAGATAGATATTAACACTATTGGATGCTGGCCAGCTCAGTGGTCTCGAGGTTAGGCATTCGCGCACGAAACCGATAGGTCCTGGTTTCGAATTTCGCTAGGCGGGATCGTGGATACGCACTTCTGAGGAGCTCCACAATAAGACGAAACAGCCATCCAGTGCTTCCAGGTTTTCCATGATGGTCTAACTTCAATTGACTCATGATTTCAGCAATTGAAACATAATATTTCTTCTCAAAGATTTATTAAAGAATGATTTCTAGCACAAAAAATTGTTTTTCAATAGAAAGAAACATTACATAAGTAATGAAGTGAAGTGATAATAAAATACATAAGACAAAAAGCGTTGTTGCTTAGGTTGCATTAAATTGTATAATTATACATGACCATCTTTTGAAGTACACGAAAGTGTACTATGCTCAAACATTTTAATGTTTTGTTTTCTGTAAATTTCTAAAGATTAAAAAAATACTCAAATATGAAATTAATTATCTCTAAGCATGAATAATTAAATAGATTTGCTCAGTTCAAAGTCTATACCATCTAGATTAAAGAAGACTTTATTTTAATATATCTCTTAAGTATTCGTTTAAAGATTTCATCCTATCGGTAAACTTGATCATCTAGGTAGTCACTAACCGGATGCTTTTTACCCTCATTTTTTTAAATAAGAGATAGATCAAAAAGTTTTCTATACAATTGGATTATAACTGAAATAATCAAAGAACATTTTTGTAACTTAGCTTCACTGATGATTTAATCGATAGTTGCTTTAAAAGATGACCCAACATTACTGTTTTATAGTTGGGAGCTAAAGAATATTACCATGCTTGTTTAAAAAATCTCTTAGAACTATAGATTCACTCATATAATTATTGTCTGAGATGTTCTCTTGAAGTTGTGTTACTAAAATGCTTTATAGTAATGAATAATAAGGGTTTAAGTTTTGAAATAAATATTATCAATACAAATAAGAAATTGAAATCTCATTGTAAGAAATATATAGTTTCTTTAATTTTGAACACCAGCCACTGTGAGCGAAATGTGTCATGACAAAGGTATCATAAGAATTAGTACGCGTCATGGGCTAAATGTTTTCTGAAGGATTATTAAAAACTATAGAGAATTGCAAATTCGTTATACCCTAGTGTGTAACTCCACGGAATTGAATACAAATGGTCCAACGAGGAATTATAATCAAGACATCTGTGGTTCGCAATTTGTGTATTACAATTATAACATAGCTGAATTTCACCTGTTATGAATTTTCGCAATAAGGATTACTTTGGTCATAATAATAATAAGTGGTAGTAAAATCTTTTCATTGACTGAGGTCTGGATAGTTTCGCAACTTTCACTAAAATACTTGTTCTATCTTAAGAGGGTGCAACTAAAGCAAATACTCATATATTTATCAGCTAGAAATAGTTTAGTCTGTTGTCAGCAACTTTCTGGTGTACGTATGGAGCATTTTTATGAAACATGACTGAAACACAAGCATACAACGATGAGAGACTTTAAAGCGTTTTTTATTAGAGGCTTGCAAGTATTAAAGTGATTACGAGGGTAAACCTAGTTTCTGTAAAAATCATCATATATCAGTTTGTAAAGTCAAAAAACTGATGTTCAAAGATTGCATGTGACTCATATTATGATTAATCACTCACCACTCCATTCCATCTTTCAATGATGGTGGTATTTGAAAGAAACCTACTGAAATCAGATAGAAACCGGATATCGGTTCATAAAAACGCTGATTATTGGGATCAGTTTAGCATAGCGAAAAAGATTTGTTATGATATTCAACAGTTGTCTAATTAGCATTAATTTATGATGTAGACTATGAGAAGTTGTGACTATTTCAGTTCAACCACGTTTGTTTTGAGACAGTTATCCACCATGGAAGACAGAAAATGATTACATAATGTCATGAACCGATTGAAGTTAGACATATATACAGGTCTAAAGGTTAAGTGATCTCAGTGAAACCGAAAGTAGTCGATTCGACCATTTGTAAAAAGGTTGTGAGTACGCATTGTTTAAGAAACCTATATTATGAAAAAATATCCTATCACTGCTCATTGGTTTAAAATAGTTATCTAGTTATAATTGATCCATGATGTGAATTATGAAAGTCATAAAATTCCTTACAACACTTTTATTATTTTACTTCATAGATCATAAAAAAATATCACTGATTCTATTAAATAGTATTTAAAGGTCGAAAGTGAAATGTCTAGTTAATAATACTTTGCCACTTGACAACAAATAATACTATTTTAGCAAAAAGAATATTGTAAGTCTATTAATATAACTAAAACGTTACTAGGCATCATTTTGTCTTATTTTGGATACAAATTAAATGACAAACATTTTTTCATATGACTGACTATAAACAGTTTTTTATTAAATTTAACTTTTAGAGAAATATTCTTTATTCCTCATCACAACTACATTTCTTTTCTTATATATATATATTTTTTTCTCTTCTTTCTACATGAATTTAAATTCCATAAATAATTGTCGAAATATTTTGTAACCATGAGCTTTATTGTTTTTTTTTCTCTCAGTTCGACCAACAACAACAACAACAACAACGAAACAACGAAAAAACAGCATTTAACCTTTAATTAGATAAATACAATTGATAAATTAATACCTATGTATATTTATAACATAATGGATAACTATATATATACATAATAACTTTGTTATTACTGCTGAAATCATTTCAACTTTTCACATTGTTTATTGTCTAGTCAAATCGAACTCAAATGAAATAAATTAAATCGTTTTAATATTTAATTTTTCTGTGTTTTCGAAATTATCTTAATTAGTGTGAATGATTAAGTATTTTACGAATATGATAGTTTATTTGTTTATATATATATATATATATATATATATATATATATATATATATATATATATATATATATATATAGTTCCCCCAAACGACCTTGTATGGCAGAGAGTGGGGAGAACTCACTCACTCTCTCGTAATGCTCTCAAGTGACCACGTGCATACAACCACTCTCAGAGAAGTCTTACTCACTGCCCTCGCACGGCGGGAGTGTTGTTTACGAAAGTGAAAGGACGGAAAGCGAATGTCTGACACTTTAACAGGGTTGATGGATACAAAGGATCCACCTAAGAGAGTTGGAAAACCCTGATCCCAAACCAATGGTGTACATGAGCTCCAAGATCCTAAGGAAACCCATTGTTGGTCATTGGCTACCATGAGACTGCATCTCTTGACGTTGTTTCACTACTTTGCGAATCAGACCCTTAGGTTAAAGGATCGAGGTGTGGGCCCCTAAGAAAGTCATCTGCTTCGGTTTGGTTGTGAGGACAGTATCCCAGCCTTCACATAAATCGAATGTTTTATGTGGCACATTTCTGTTTGGTGCCTTCTTGTACCAATGTTTATGTGTTTAAATAAATAAATAAATATAAGCATATGTAGTAATGTTGTGAATAAATTTTATTTGAACCTTAATAATAAGCATTCAAATGAAACATTCTAATTGTTTATTTA